TTATTTCGAGAGTTGTGCTGAATTGTGCTATGTTTGTGCTACATTGTACTAGAATATTAAAATTGTAATATGAAAAATACGTCAAAAAAATTAAAAAAAAATTTTTTTAATTCAGCTATTTTTCTATTTTTTTTTCTAATTTTTCTCATCTGTGCTAAAGTTTTACTTTTAAATAGTAATAAGAAAAGTAGTGAATGATAAAAAATAATTGTATACAATTCTGTGTGCAACTAACGTTTATATTCGTAAGTTATTTAAATAATATAGAATTGCATATTTAAGTTGTGCTACCTTAGCACAAGTCAATATAACCTCCAGATTTTCCAGTACAATGATATAAATTTACTCTTATGCGTAGACCTTTGTGCTCAAATTCTATGTCTATAAATCAGGTTTATAATTCTTCGATGTAGATAATACTATAGTTGCATTCCGTTATTCACTGCGAGTACTGAAAATCTATAGTTCACGTTACGTACACTGTAGTTTTTCAATGCTCGCAGTGAATAACGGAACGCAGCCATATATCTGAGTTGTGCTAGCTTAGCACAAGTCATCACAATCTTCGGATTCTCTAGCACAATGATATTTAAAAGGCCACTTTATTCTTGCGCGCAGACCTTAGCGCTCGAATTCTACACCCATAATTCAACAAATTTTGATGAACTTTTTATTTCTCATGTAATGGATGCTTCTTGTAAGCCTTCTTACAGTGAAAAAAGGATGCGTTTGAAAAAATTCCATTACTCTTTAATTTTTAGAAATTTCATTTTGAATTTCTTATGTATAGATAAAAAGTTAATTAAAATTTGTTGAATTATGAGTGCAGAATTCGACCTACGCGCAAGACTAAAGGGTCCTTAATATTGTTATACTGAGGAATTCGAAGGTTGTGCTGACTTGTTCTAAGCTAGTCCGACTCAAATATATAATATTATTCACGTGAGAAACTTACAAAATTATGGACATAGAATTTGTGAATGGATATAGAGCGCTAAGGTCCACGCACAAGAATAAAATGCCCTTTATATTATCATTGTACTGGAGAATCCGAAGGTTGTGATAACTTGTGCTAAGTTAGCACAACTTAAATATGCAATTCTATATTATTTAAATAACTGATGCGAATGTAAACGTTAGCTGTATACATATAACAAAATTGTATAATACATTTTTTATTATTCACTTCTTTTGTTATTTCTACTTAAAAGTAAAACTTTAGCACAACTTAACACAACTTAGCACAATTGAGAAAATTGAAAAAAAAAAACGGAAAATGGGGGGCTGATTAAAAAAATGTTTTTTAAAATGTATTTTTTATATTATGGTTTTAATATTTTAACACAATGTAGCATAAACCTAGCATAATTCAGTACAATTTTCGAAATAAGTTAATTCTAAAAGTGGAAGGACAAATTTTGTACATACAAGTACAAAAATGCTCGAACAGAGATTACACAAAGTGAAGAAAATTATTTTTTTTTTTTATTAATAAGTGCTACATGAATCAACAGAATGGCAGAAAAGTAAAATGCAATAAAGCAGAATTGTTTTACATTTCTTATTATTTTATTGATTCACATAGCATTTATTAAATAAAAAAGATGTATAACTTTCTTCACTTTTTCTAATTTTTGTTTTGCGAGCATTTTTGCGAAATTATGGAAGTAGGGTATTGGCAGCTACCAATGTAATTTGTGATTGGTTCTAACAGATTTTGTTTTTTCTAAATGTAAATGCTCTCTAATTAGTTTTAAAATTCAAATTGCAAAATCCGGCTTTGTATCTTTCATATCTTTGTAGTTTTGTAAAAAAAAAGAAGTCGAAAAGCTTTTATAATATGTAAAATCATACTCCTAGGAAATAAAATATGATTAAACAGATGTATCTATTCCGGGAATAAGGAACAAATAATCTCATTTATTATCATTATCATTAAAAGCTAAATTGCAAAGTCTAATTTTGTAGAAGTTTTCGTAGATTTATTAACAAAAAATCAAAAAGGAAATCTTACAGCAATTGATTCCATTTTTCAATGAAACAAAATATGATAGAATACAGATATGTATCCGCATCGCGAATGAGATGCAAATTATAAATTTGAAATTGACCCGTCACTTCTGTCAATCTTAAATTTTAATCGAAAAAATGTTGACTTTTCACGTTTTGATCCTAGGGAAAATGTTACATGAACGGTATTTAGTTTAGTTTGTTTTCTATCTGCACGCAAGTATTATCAATAATTTATGAGACACTGCGTATGCGCGCGCGCATACAGAGTTTCTTAGTTTCTTAGTTTAACAAATATATTGCATTTTTTATTTTAAATTTAATCACAAAGAAATTTATTTTTATGTTTCAACATTTTTTTTAACAAAAAATCTTTTGTTATATAGACGTATGCCAAAGACATCTGGTGCACAGACAACAAGTATTTTAGAAGCTGTTGAATTGTTGGATGCAATGTCTACAGATAGCGAATCTGAGAGCGAATCAGAATCGTCGCAATTTTATGCCAGACCAAGAAACTTGATCCAAAGGCGGGTTACAATAACAGGTGCCAGTCCCACATCCAAACATGGCATCAATCTCGAACAGTTTTGGAAGGAGTTGAAACTAGAGCATAAGGCGGCTGTTCAGTTGCGTGATAAAGCAGCACCTCGCGCCCATGGTTCGGATAATGTACCAATGGTAAATATACGGCCCAAAACGTGTTTAGGATTAGAATCGGCAAAAAGGAAGAATAAGACTAATGAGCAAACGAATAAAAAGGTGCAATTTGAGGAAAAATTGACTGATAGAAGCACTCGTCCAGATGATACAAAAGAAAAAGTTATTCCTATGCAAAACTGTGATGATGATGGTGCAAATATTGTAAATAAAGATATTAATATAGAACATTTACAAGCATCCACGGGTAATGTCAGTAATAGCAATAATTTAAAAGATATGACCGTGCCTTTAGATGAATCTAATAATTCTATTAGTGATACATTTAGTATTAATGAAGGCATGCCGAATAATAAATCAGAAATCAGCATGCAATACGTTGAAAATCGTGGTAAATTAGATAAAGACTGTAGTACCTCTGCATATCTATCGGATACTGAGAAATTATTCGACCATTGCTTGATCAATACACCAAATAATAATTTAACAAAAGCTAATGTTAGTGCAGTTATTGAGAATGTTGATGATCACAAAAAATTGAAGGATGTAAGCAGTAAGCATACAGAAGCATCCGCTAGAAGATGCGATAGTAATGTCGCTCAAAAAATTAGTAACATCGAGAAACAGATCGCGCATAAGAATGCAGAAGAACAAACAAGTGCCTTTGGAGTGCCTAAGAGAATAGATCTACGTAAAAATAATGTATATGTCACGATAAATGGCATAAATCTTGAAAATAGTACAGAGGAAAAAAATCAAAATGATCAAAATGATCTTGAACATGATATATCGGATGTAAATGATAAGAAATACGCCGCCGAGAGATTAAGCACTGAATGTGAAAATGTAAACGAAAATAAAAGTGTTCATTTGAAAAATTCGGCATGCGAGTATCATGAGAATGCTGATTGCGGTACTTTAGAAATATCAAACAGTAAAAAAGAACGTTGTAATAATAATAATAACAATAGTAACAGCAGTAGTAGTAATAGCAGTAGTAGCAGTGGTAGTAGTAGTAACAGTAATAATAATAATAGTGGTAATAGTGGCGGAGGAGATGCTGGTGATAGTAGCGGTAGCAGTAGTAGCAGTAGTACTAGTAGTAATAGTAGTCCTAGTAATGTTAGTAATAGCATCGAAAGAAACAAAACGTTACCAAAATTTGATAAAACTTTACAAACGGTTGATTGTGCTCAGCATGTAGAATTGCTTAAAAGGAAGTTTTCCTCAGTACTATCAAGAGAGAATTGTACCGAGATGAAGATACCATCACATAATACTAAATCTATCGAAGATGATCTATTGAATGTTACTCGTAACGTTTCAAAGATGCAGATTAACATAAAGCAACAAACTGAAGAGGCAAGGTCTGCAGACTTGCCTTCGGCACAGGTCACAGTACAGTCCTGCCGCTTTATAGAGTTACCAAAAATTGAATCTGTTAGAAAACTCGAGAATAAATCTCACGCAACACCCCCAGAGCCGCCGCCTCGTAAATATTACACGAATCAAGCAATAACCGATTTGAAATTAAACAATATCCCGCAGACTCTGGAGGATTTGCAAAAACCTCAAATTCCAGAGAGACTCGGCATTAAACGAGAATTTAAAAAAGTAGATTTAAGTTCATGTGTTAATCATATTAGAAGCAATTCAGATTGTCAAGATAGAAAGGATTCCTCAGATGTGCATATGGTTAATTACACAGAAAATTCGATGGACTTTATTGATGAGCCACGAACTATAAGTTTAAGCGATCAAAAATTTGATCGTTCAAACTTATCTGATGCTTTGTTGTACAATGAAAATAACGACAAGCAGTCAAGAGAAGAAAAATGTCCTTTTGAAAAGTATGAAACTTTTAATGAAAAATTCGTTTGCTCGGATCAATCCATAACAGATTGTTATAGGTTTGATCACTCACGCAATGTCGATTGCCCTGACGGTATAACATACTCAAAACAAACAGTATCGTCAGATTTAAAGCCAAGATTATCAGAGAAGGATAAGAGTATTGAAAAAAGTGTTGTTAATAGAGCTATGATGGTAGCTAAAAGTATTGGCTTACATAGTAGTTTAAATAAGTCTAACAGCAGTCCAAGAAGCAGTAGAAAACGGAATATGTTATTGGCAAGTAAGTACAATTGATTATTACTTTTCTTGATGTTTAAGATATGTACTTGTTTTGAGCAGTATAATTAACAAAGTATAGTTAATTACATTTAATATAAAATATAAAATACAAATATAGTCAATTAGATTTTTACAATTTATTCAAATGTATATATTATATATTTATATAATTTATTTATTTAAATATGTTGAATTTTGAGGTATAACATTATTTTCAAAACAACGTCAATATCTTGAATCTTAGGATACAAAAAATATATCTTTTTCTTATTAGAGAGGAGAAATGTATCCGTAAGAGACATTGGTACTGGCGATTTGGAAGGATGGTTGACATATCGTAGTAGAGGAGCAGGTGGCGCATGGGCAAAGGCCTGGTTTGTATTAAAGTGTTCATCGTTGTACAGGTAAAATTTTATAAAACATTTTATTATGACGAATAATTATCCAACTAAATAATTAAATAATATAAATTTTTATCTTTACGATTAGATTTAAAACCCAGGACAGTGTAAAAGCTGACTGCTTGATCATATTAACGGGTTTTACTGTATCGCCGGCTGCTGAAGTGAAATCGAGGAAGTATTCCTTCAAAGTATATCACACAGGAACAGTGTTTTATTTTGCCACTGATACCGAAGACAATTTGATTCTGTGGCTAGACGTAGTTAATAAAGGCACTTTAGGTGCGGATACTCAAGACCAAAGCGTTGAGCTTTTTAGCGAAACCGATGAGAGCGATAGCGAAGGCCACAAGAGTAAGCTGAAATGTACACCAGACTCTTGTAAATCAAACTCGGAGAAATCGTTCGGTTCTCTAAAAAAGTCTGTACGAAAAGACGCCGGCTCGATTAATCACGAAATCGTTGGCGCAAGCCTGGATCGAAAATATTTAAAATTTCTCGGTGCCAGAAATCAGAATATACCTGTTCCAACGGCGCAATTTAGAAGTTACAGACGAGTAATTCCTACATCAACACCGAACAAGTGAGTATATCAAGGATATTCGAGACTTTCTATTTAACTTTTTGCTACACAAATTTTTTTTTAATATTTTGCTAAATTTTAATATATTTTTGGGAGAATTTTTGAGATTACTGATTACAAATCTGAAGTTAAAAGGACGTTTCTTACGTTAAAATACGTTGTTTTTATAACAACAGAAAATCAAAAAGTAAAGAAATATGAAACTCTGAAGTCATAGAATTTGAATGTCTGCAACATGTTTTAAAGATAACTTAGTGTAAAATTTAATTAAAAAATGGCGGATTTCGTTCTTAACGTAATCCGGAACTAACAATGAAGACAAATTTCTAGTTATATATTTTTATTTTTAATTTTAAAAATTAAAAATTTTTAGGATTTAGTTTTTTAATTTATTGATTAACTTTTTTATTTTTATTAATTTTTTTATTATTTTATTTTAGAGACAAGCAAGAGGTGTTTTTATTAATTATAATGCTTTTGCATAAAATTTTTTGATATTTTAATTTTGATATTTTATTTTTGATATGTTGATATATAACGGAAAAAACTGAAACTATTTTATAAAGATTTTATCCCTTAAAACTGTTTTTTACCTTAGAAAATAATTTTTAAATTTATTTTTTCACCTTATATATATGTAAAGTTTTAAAATCAGAATTTGACACTTGCTAGGTCACTTTTCTTTGATCATTTTGCCCATGTTTGATCTGTTATTTTAAATTTTTTAATTTTGAATGTAGATTTGAAATCAGCAACCTGAACAATGGTCGCGTTCAGCAGAACGTTTATTTTGCGAACTATTGGAAGTTTTCTCACTGATTGGATTATACTTTTAAATTTAGAGGAATAAAAGTCAACCTATCTCAGAAAAAAGAATACTTCCAACAAGTACAAAATAATCATTCTGCTGAACACAGCAATTAAGGAATCTTAAAGTTGTAAATTTTACACCGACCGAATGTGATTTTTTCAACATTTTTCTAATTGTCTTTCCAAAATTAAAGTATACCATCAATATAAGTCATGCTGATCGACTTTGTGCTGATAACAAAAACAAAAAATTAAGATATTTAGATCTTTTTTTATCGGCTCTTAGTCCAATACGGCATCTAGAGCTATCAACTTGTGCCAATATTAGCTTCATACAAAAAATCTGCAGTGTATTTGTACAAAATGGAAATGGTTTGTTATGCGGATTACATGAAAATACAATGTTGAGTTCTCAGTATTAGACTTTAGATGTCTAATAAGAAAGATTAGTGTGCCTGCAAATTTTTGTATATGTGTGCGTGCGATATTGATGAATAATATGTATAATGATATATTGATGTTTTATAAATCGTATGCTTGTAAATTATATGTGACGTGCAAGTCGTGTTCGATCGGTAAAACTCATGATTCTATTGGGGGTTCGGTCTTTACTTTAAAATATGTTAAACCAATTATGAAATATTAGACATAGAAAGACTATGAAAAGATAGGTGTTTCTATATATGGGACATTATGCAACAAAAGATTAAACATTTTTTTTACGTTTCACAGAAAAGAGGATTGCAATTCAAATTCTCCGGATTTACAAATGACGATCGCTGGTAGTACATTCTATGGCTCGACTATGTCTCAGAGTGCTACAGATACGTCGAGCAATTCGGACATGAGTGATTATCGGCATGCTGCAGACGGGTAATTTTTATATTATAATTAATTATATTTTTTCCATGTCGCGGAAATATTCTCTATAATAATGTTATAGATCTAATATCTAACAACTTATTGTTACATATGTAGGTCTGTTGGTAGAAGATTAGATAATTCGCAAGATTTCATCGCGCAAGAAGAATTGGCGATATCGCAACAGGATGAGACGCATCGGCAAAGTATGATAAACAAATCGAGGTCTCCGCGCGGGACACCTTTGCTCAACGATCACGTGCAGCACAGGAACTTGACTGATAACACGATGTACAATGAGCATATTAGACACTTAAGTGACACATCGTTAAACGATGCTGATAATATTTATAGCAAGACCAGCGATGAAACGTCGAATAACAATATTATGGATATCAATTCGAAGAATACGAATGCACATGTGCATGCACCTCGTCAAATCATCAAGGATAATTTTGCCGTTGCCCGATCTGAAAGCGATGCGAATTTTGTAAATGATAAATCCTATGATAGATGCAAGGCAAGACGGCATACGACATGGGAATCCACGTCGGGTTATGCGCAGAAAAGAAAAGCGCAGGAACTTGTGAAGACTCAGAAACCGAAACAAGACGATTCATTTCATTGGAGAAATATGATAAATCCAAACAAGCAGAATTCTCTGAATCAGAATACAGATTATGAACTTAACAAGCGTGTACAATCCCCCAATCAGGAAAACTATAAGTTGCATGATTTTCTTTCGCCGAAAAATATCGGTATGATAAAGATTTTCAAATACAAAAACTTGTTAAAAATGACAATAACAGTTTAACAAAAAAAAAAAAAAACATTTTTTCAAACACTAGAACGATATTAATCATTTTTCATCTAGTTTTTAAACATTGAATATCGGTTGTTAAGTTACTTTATCACGTCACAATTTTGAGAAATTTGTAGTTAAAGATCATAAAAGAGCTATTTTTATGTATTTTGTTATATGACTACAATATATGATGTGTTAGAGAAGTTTTATTGCAATCAAAATTAAGTATACTGTTAGACCTTTTAGCCCTAAGAAAAGGAATTTTTTGTGTCTGCCATGATTAATAAGATATGACAGATACTCATGGGATCTATCGCGGAAAAGATATAAATTAGATCATTGACGATTTTTTGTTCTAGTGTTTTTTTTAACTGTAATCTTAATACCTCAAAATTAATATTTTAATAGTTTTACTAATTTGATATTGTGAAATTACCTGAAATTAAATCTATTTTAATTGTAGGATATTCCGGATCCAGTAATGATCTTGCAAGTCATACATCATTTGAGATGCAGCAATGCATAAAGAAAGACGCATCGATTAATCGAAAGGGAAGTTTCAATCTTATTAATCGTCACGATAACAATTCTTCTGATAAACACTGGTTAGATTCGTTGAAACGCGGCGAGAAAAAAAGCTCAAGTTGTGACAAAAACCGTCTGAAGAATGTTGCACAGTATCAACCACCGCCCATACCAACATCGCCGTTCGAGCAGGAGGGAATGCGTGCCGCATTCGAGATGCACTTAGATAAAAATGATCATGTGCAGAAAGGGAGTCGCCTGAAAGTTTTATTCGGTACTAAACAGCAAAAACCCTGTACTTTGGATCTTCCTAAAAATGTTCAGAAAACCATATTAGGCAAGTAACTTCTATTAAGTATAAATATTAATAAAGTTATAAAATAATTACCGCTCGTATGTATAAAACAATAAAATAGGAAAGAGTTGGACCAATAAACGAGCAAAACTTTTTTTGGTTGATTAATACGAAAAATTTTTTAATAATTAATGAATTGATGGAACGTTCCGGTTTACTTAG